AGCCCCAGCTCTGCCCCTGGCTGCTGGGGAGGTCTGAGGCCACGAAGCGGCACCCCTAACCCCTCCCCCAGCAACTGAAGAGGGGAGAGCCAGGCCAGGGCCAGTGTGTGGCAACTCCAGCTCCCCAGGTGGCCGCTGAGGAGTGCTGGACTGGGAGTGGGTGGGGCTTGGTTCCAGGGGCTGGGCTGGGGCTTGCATTTCCCAGCTGGGCTTTCACCACTCATGCCTATCCCCTTAAGCCTGTGGAGGCAGATGATATGACAATATGACATCATTTTGTTGTCCCAGAGGAAACACACACACACACACACACACACACACACACACACACACGAGAAAAGGTACAGAAAGGGCAACAGAAATGATTAAGTGGAAGGAATAACCTCCACATGAGGAGAAATTAACAAGACTGGAACTTTTCTGCTTGGAAAAGAAATGACTAAAGGATGGGGGGATATGTTAAAGGTCTAGAAAATAATGAATGGTATGGGAAAATATAATAAGGAAATGTTATTTATTCCTTCACTAACATAATACAAGAAGCTAGCCCAATCAAATTTATAGACAGCAGATTTAAAACAAGCAAAACATATTATTTCTTCACAGTCAACCTGCATAATTCTTTGCCAGGAGATGGCAGAAAGGCCCAAATTATAACAGGGTTCCACCAAGAAAAAAAAAAGTTTAAGGAGGATAGAACCATAAATGGCTACTAGCCAGAATGGGCAGGGATGGTTTCCCTAGCTGCTGTTTGCCAGGAGCCGGGAATGGGTGACAGAGAATGGATCATTTGATGATTACCTCTGCAGTTCATTCCTTCTGAAGCACTGGCATTGGCCACTGTTGAAACATCGGCCCCATCCCTTTCCATATGATGGAAAACAGTCCCATTCCAGGCACTTCCCATTTTCCACAACCAAATCCTGACCTTGCTTTAAGTTAGGATAAGAGGAATTTGCATACCAAATTTGGTGGTCCTAGCTCTTATCCTGTAGGAGTTGCCTCTATATAAAACCATGGTACACTCACATCTTGACTACTACGTATAGATGTGGTCACCTCATTTCAAAAAAGATAAATTGGCATTGCAAAAGATTTAGAGAAGGGCAACAAAAATGTTTAGGGGTTTGGAATGGGTCCCATATGAAGAGAGATTAAAAAGACTGAGACTTTTCATCTTAGAAAAGAGAATACTAAGAGGGGATATGATAGAGGTCTATAAAATCATGACTGGTGTGGAAAAAGTGAATAAGGAAAAATATGTTCTTATTCTCACAGTATAAGAACTAAGAGTCACCATGTGAAATTAATATGCAGCAGTTTAAAAACAAACAAAATGAAGTTTTTCTTCACTCTTTGCATAGTCACCTTTGGAACTCCTTGCCAGAGGATGTTGTGAAGACTTTAACACGGTTCAAAAAAGAGCTAGATATATTCATAGGCTGTGTCTACACTGCACCCCTTTTATGGAAAAGGGATGCAGATTAGACCAATCGGAATTGCAAATCCGCGGGGGATAGGAATAAGAAATCCTCCGGAAAAGGGCTTATTTTCCGGAGAATCGCGTCTAGACTGGCGCTTTTCTCCGGCTTATCCCCAAGCCGGAAAAAAGCGGCAGCCATGTAAATGCAAATGCTGCGGGGGATATTTAAATCCCCCACGGATTTGCAATTCCTACTGGTCTAATCTGTATCCCTTTTCCGGAAAAGGGGTGCAGTGTAGACACAGCCATGGAGGTTAAGTCCATCAATGACTATTAGCCAGGATGGGTAGGAATGGTGTCCCTAGCCTCGGTTTGTCTGGAAATAGGTGACAGGAGAGGGATCACGTGATGATTACCTGTTGTGTTACCTCTCTCAGGGGCATCTGGTATTGGCCACTGTCAGCAGACACAATACTGGGCTAGATGGACCTTTGGTCTGACCCAGTATGGCCATTCTTATATTTTTATGAGTTCTTGAACAAGTGGACTCATAGACAGACAGATACACTCTAAATATATATAGAGATTTTGAGTATAATAGTTCACTACCTAGACTGAATGAATAGTCACAGAAAGGTGGCCGTGTTAGTTTGATCTTGGTAAAACAAAAAAGCAGTCATGTAGCACTTTAAAGACTAACAAAATAGTTTATTAGGTGATGAGCTTTTGTGGGGCAGACCCACTGCTTCAGATCATATTCTGAAGTGAATAGGCATGACCATTTTATAACAGAGGGAGACAATGAAAGAAGGTAAGAAAATTATTACAAACTGACAAGTCAGCTACATAGAATAGAAGGTGGGGGAAGGAAAGGGGAAGTGACAAGGAAGGAGGAAATTGCTTATTGTAAGAGCCAATTAAGTGGCTAATCTGGGGTCACTACGAATATCAAAAGTTGGGGAGGCTGTCTTTGTAATGTGTAAGATAATTATCATTTCTATTAAGGCCGATTCGCAACATGTCGAATTTTAGCATAAATAAAAGTTCTGAGGTCTTCCTCTGTAATCTGGTGTTAAAGTCTCTTTGATGTAAGACGCATGTTGTCAGGTCTTTAAGAGAACAACCAATTTGATTGAAATGCTGGCTGACAGGTTTGTGTGCGTGGAGATTTCTGATGTCTGAGCATTACTTCTTTGGTAAAGTGACTGTCCAGTTTGTCCAATATACATCACAGAGGGGCACTGTTGGAAGATGATGGCATATATCACATTGCTGGATATACAGGAATATGAGCCCTTGATCGTATAACTGACATGGTTAGGTCCAGTGATGATGTCTCCAGAGTAAATATGTGGATTGTATTGACTGCTCCTGGCTGCTGTGCTAACAAGTCTGTTCTATGATGAGTCCCTGTGAATCAATAAACCTTCTGTTCTACCTCCACGCTGAGAATCACATCTGGCTGTAGATCGAGGTGCAAGGCCCAGTGGCTCCCCACACCTTGGTGACACAAATATTTATAAAGTTTCTTACCCAGATATATGAAGCTAAGAGCTCCGCATACAGAACATTTGAGTTGTCAGGGACATGAGGTGACAGCATTTTAATGTAAAAGAGTTACTGAGGAAAATTCCATAAATTCTGCATAGTATTTTGCTCACTAGATGCCCTTCCAGAATTAATCTGATATCAGCTCTTTCCATATAATTTTTCAAATAAAAAGCAGGTGGTGAATGCAATGAAAAGGAGCAATGAATCCTGTAAGAAAAGTGGGGAGATAAGCAAGAAAGAAAAAAATAACCAAACCATAAGTGATCATTGCTTGTTTCATCTATTAGCACTAGGTAATATTTGCTATTAACATTTAATTAATTCAGTTAATGAAATCGATTCTGTTCAAATCACTGTCCAGCTCTGACTCTGAAGCCTCCTAGATTACACAGAAACAGAGACCTTAAGACAAGGTGATCATTTCCCCTTATGTGATGGCTAACAAGGTATTATGCGACCATGCAAAGCTATTGGCTTTCTTTCTAATGTGAGAGACCGGTTTTCCCTGCTTGACTGATTCATATCCTGCATTTCTATGTGTCATGTTCTGCTCAGGGCTACTAGACCGTAACTTGACAGGAAAATGTACTTGAAAATTTGTATATTGAAATTAAAGACTAATAAAAGTCTATTAAAGGTTTCCAAATAGCTATGGCCTACTGCAACTTAAAGAGGAATGGGGGAATAATAGACATCTGATAATTTCATCACAACTTTCATACTCAGAGTTATATAGGAAGTAAGGGCCTGACTGTGGGCTCTGCTGCCACCCTATTACAGTGATTTTGAACAGGCTCAGTACACAGCCCTACAGCAACCACACCTCACAGAATCCAGTATTTGGACATGCTCTGGGAACGGCTGCAAGTTGGAAGGGTGGAGTGTTTTGTATTAAGAGGCACAGCACAGAATCTGACCATTGTGTTCCATCATAAATATTTTTACCTTTTTATATTTCTGACTTCCTTTTCTTTGCATTATTGAATTTATTTTTGGATACTCCATGTGAATTACGAACATTTTCATGTTAAATCGACAAGGAGTCCTGTAGCATCTTATAGACTAACAGATGTATTGGAGCATAAGCTTTTGTGGGCAAAGACCCACTTTGACCCTCTTTGCCCATGAAAGCTTATGCTCCAATACATCTGTTAGTCTATAAGGTGCTACAGGACTCCTTGTCGCTTTTGCAGATCCAGACTAACATGGCTACCCCTCTGATACTTGACTTCATGTTAAATGTGACATACTTTCACAGTCCAAAGTCTTTAACTTGCATTTACCTTAGACATCGTGTTCTTTTCACTACTACATATAAATAAATGACATTGCTTAAGGTAATTTTTAAAATAATTTAATAAATTACAATCAGATTAAAATATTCATTAGGTTGTTTCATTGTTATACATATCAAATAGAGACTTCTGGTGCACACAATGCATTTGGAAACATAGGAACCCGAAGATAAGCTGCAACAATATCATAGGAACCTATGAAGTTTTAGCTCAGTTGGACATTTAAAAGCCAGTGAGGGACTCCTTTCCTGCCTATAGTTCTCTAGTAAGAATATTCTGTTTACAAATTTATCAAAGATTGCAAGAGTGTGATATTTCAATATATATTGTTGCTAAATGTCACACATTGTAGCACACTCGTCTTTAAAGTACCCATCTCTAAGCTACCCATATAATTTAAATAAAACCATGTAACACTCTGGCGACATAGGTCCATCTATCCCCATTTCAAAGATGGAGAAACTGAGGCACAGAGCAATTAAGTTACATGCCCAAGGTCACAAACTAGGAATAAAACCTGGATTTTTTTGGCTGCTATCCTGTGTTTTATCAGCTAGATCATATTTCCACAATAAGAGTTAGAAATTCATGATTTCATTTATCAAATCTCTTATCAGAGGTTAGAATTCTACCAAGGAATGAGTAACTCTATGAATAAAAAGACAAACACAATACTTTTAACCTGAAGATTTTCAACTTTTCTAAGGGCCAATTTGTTCATGTTTTAATTAAACAAATTAGAAAAGAGTCTGACTTAAAAATCTTGGATACAAACATTCCCATACTTTAGGGAAGTCTGAACCCGACATTGCATCTTAGATTCATCTCTATTCAAACATCTGTTTTCCCACTTCAATATATTTCAGGCTTTGAGCATAGCCCCAAATGACAGAAAGTCAAATTGCTTGTGCCTAATAGACTAAAAATGTTGGCCTCAAACTTGGGTGCCTCAAGGGAGGCACCTATGCAAACAGGCTTGGTGTGCAACACCACTGAAAATCAAGCCAATTTTATTTAAATACGGAGTTAGGTGGCCAACTGGAGGCATCCAACTTGTAAATGCTGGCATGAATTCTCTGCTATAGCTGAAGTCTAAAACTGCGAGTTCATTAAAATCAGGGTATTTATGTACATCTGAGCTCTCTATTAATATAACTTATTACTGTAGAGAAAAATGAAAAAAAATACAATTACATTTTAATCCAGATATTTTTACCAGTTTGAAGCTTTCAAGGCATCCTAAAGTTTTTTAGTTACTTGACTTTAATTTTTTTTTATTTTTATAGTCTTGGAAGAGCATAAGGAAAGAAAAACAACTGAGTTCCTTTATATTTGCTAATCTTGCTGTTTGGAGTCCCCTTCTCTGTTTTTATTCAGTTTTTCTATATCAGTAGAAATAATCAAAATAGCACTTTGCACAGGATAGTAAATCCAACTTCCTCAGGATCACTTTGTCAGAAACCAACAAGCTGATCTGCAAATATATTGTGATAGGAGGTACTTTATTTCAAGAGGACAATTTGCTTGGGTCAGTGTTGGCAAGATCAGTTTTAATGTTGTTGGCAAATGCAGGTATACTCCATAAACAAATTAATCTATGTTGCAATCTTGCATTACATAACACATATCATCTAGTTTTATTGAAAAACAATCAATCAATACAAGTCTGAGTTATTTTATCATTCTGTTTTAAAATCAGTTTCTTGTCTCAACAACTCATCTTTATGTAGTTGTATGTTATGAACGCACAATTGGACATGGCATTAGATTCTACTGTAATTCAAGAATTAGAGAAAAAATTACATTCACATACTTTTAGATTTAGTTTCTGTGTCTACCAGGTGCCAACAAATATGACTGTAATGATTTCTAGTGTAAATAATGCTTTTCACTGCTATTATTTTTACATATTTTTCAAGAATGTACAAAATGCTGCGAAAGCACAAGAAAAATTAGAGAGACCTTTAATTTCATGTGGGTGTACAGGAGAATACATATTAAAAAGATCAAGTGAAAACAGATGACCATTTTTAGTGCATCTTCATAAGACATCTTGAGTCCTACCTATCCAATGCATTTCAGAAAGAGGCACCATCAACTTATTCCAGGAAACTTCAAAGCATATTCCAAAGAGCTCTTTCCATAATTCAGTGATGTTTTGCTGTACTTGAGACCAGTTGCTTCATAATTTGTACTCCCCAGAATGCAATACAGAGTGAAAATAAAATCTACAATAAAAAGCACAGAGTGAAAAATGTTATAGAAGCTTTCTTAATAAAAGTTGTATAGTATTTATTGTAAAATGGATAAAAAGAACTCTCCCAAGAGAACATATCTATATAAGTATTCCAAGCATATTGTTAAATTATGAAAAGTAGATGTTGGAGTTTATAGACTTTAGGATTTCTAGGTTCTCTCTCCTTCTCAAAGTTAGCACTTCCTTGACATGTTACTAAACCTCCAGTCCCCACCACTGAAAGAACACATCTATCCCTGGAAGATCCATTAAACATAGAAGTATTTTATTCAGAGAAAAAACATATTTAAGCAATAATGACTGAGGTACAGGGCATTTCTAGGGGATTAATGACTGGCTGGCAGATGATGATCACCTGAAACACAGCCACGGGCCATTAAGCCCCAGGAAATGTCCTCAGCTGAGATTGTTATTACTATTATAAGTTGAAAAAATCATGGGCGAATATTTTAAATGGGCTGATGCAGTTCCTTCCCCTTCCCTTTTTTAAATTAAACTCTTTATTGTGAGTTTGTTAAAGAATGCAATGTATGCTTGTGGGGGAGTATTTCAAATTATAGTTATTATACCAGACTGAGAGACCACATTCTGCAGAATTAGTTTGGCTTCGAAGTTCTGCAAAAAATACTGATTTAATGTCTACTAAATTCAACATTGCTAGTATTAAATGCAAAGTACTGCAATCACAAAACAACCAGGCTGCACCAGTGGGGGAAAAACAGCAGAGAATATAATTATAACGGGGCCACATCCACCCCTGCATCGTAACTGTCCTGTCCAGTGCCACAAAGCTGCCCTAAGCAGATCCCGCTGTGTAGTCACAGATTTACATTTTCTCTGGAGCCTGTAGTGCATTCTGTGCAACAGAACCCGTGAAGTTGGAATGGTGTGATTTAATGGTCACACTAAAATAACACTAGAGCTATTTGGGGAGAATAAAAGGTGTGAACAATAGGACAGAGCACTCCATGTGAAGAGCTGATATGTATCGGACAGCTACCTTTGCAAAGTGTGCTTGCCACATAGTACCCACCTTACAGCCTACTGCCCATTTCTGCTGTGTATATACAGTATGTACTTTTCAGAGTATTCATCTGGAAATTCCCATTCCCGTCAGACTCTTTATTTTTTGCCTCTTGCTAAAAATAATTTACATACCAATTTTCAAAGTTCAACCATTTTTGTCATAATCTGATTTTTTTAAAAGCATGGTTAGGAATATTTTGAAACACTGGGAAAATACTTTTTCCCTTCTCCCAAAATAGCTGATAGTTTCATCTTCAGATTTTAATAAACAATAATCATGATTAATAATGTACAGTGGGCAGCAATCATGCATGAAACATTTCAGCCCCAACAATGAATTTTTCAGAATGCTCTAGCCAGTGAAAACAGACTTATATTGGAAACTGTTTTACAATCTTAATTTTAACAGTTACTACCAGTGACTGTGGTATTATTATTATATAGCTAACTATGAAATTAAATTTTATATCTGTTATTTATACTGATGGAAAGGGGTTGTACTCTTTCAAATACTTCCAAGTTGTCCTCATTAGTTTAAATCAGCGGTGGGCAATAAGCGGTCTGTGGGTTGGATACAGTTTTCCAGGGTCAGCCCCTGGTGGGCTGCTGATACTTTATTTACCCACATCTGCAGATACAGCCACTTGTACCTCCTGTGGACCACAGTTTGCCATTCTTAACCAATGGGAGCTGTGGGGAGCATTGTCCCAGTCTTCACTGCTTCCTGCAGCTCCCACTGATCAGGAACTGTGACCTGCAACCAATGGGAGCTGCAAGCGGTCATATCTGCAGATATGCTGGTAAATAAAGTGCCGACGGCCCACCACAGCCTAAGCCAGAAGATACACCTCCAGCTTACTGCCCACCCCGGTCTCTAAAAGGAACCATTTATGGGGATAAGGACTGCTCACTTAACTAGGGCATTGCAGATTTGGGCTCTTAGGTACACATGAAATCTCAAAGGCAGGATTAGAATTTATATTTGCATGATTGTAAATTGTTCTAAAATCCTTAATGGAATTCAGGTTTCCCCTTTTGTACTACTACAGCTGATGTTTTAAATAGCTGATATATTGCCTTTTGGTTATACTGATGAATGAAGATAACTTATTTACCATAAATAGGTCTGTTTTGCATGGCAGCTGAATCACAACAGTAATCTCTCTCTATATATAAACATTTTCAGTAGGATGACACAGTGACATCATCATGTCACTCTGTGTCTTGCCGCCCGCAGCCTCATGGCCTCCTCCTTTCCTCCCCCTTGTCCTCCCTGGTGCTGTGGGGAGGGTGTGGGAGGAGAGCTGAGGGTGGTGCAGCCAGGGCCTAGTGGCTGGGGGAGGGGCGGGTTGGGGCTGCCCTTGGCCTTGGCCCAGCACTCCCCTGCGACCAGAGGGAGAACCGAGATTGCCGACTCCCAAAGGGAGGCGGTGTTGGTGAGTGTAGTAAGCAGGGGGCGCAGCCCCCTAGTAAAGATAAAAATAAAAAAAACCATGTATATTGTATGAGTATGTCTCTCCAAGACCTCTCACCAGAACACAATACCATATGTAGCAATATTCCTGAAATGTGTTTCCAGGATTAGTTAGCATTAATTATGTTGTAACAACTTTTGCAGAGATCAAGCCAATATATAAAAAGATGGATTTTGGTTTTTTTGGGTGGAATAAATATAATCTCATACCCTCTACGGGGTTTTTATTTCCTATTTTAGCATTTGATCACACTGGTGCTGCATAGTCTTTGTCTGAAGATATGCATTATATGTTTTATAATTGCTACATTATATCCTATTTAGTTCTGAATTAGGTCTATGTCTCCACTCACAGAATAGTCTCAGTATGTGCATTTCATTGCTTAGTGTGCACTTTGGGCTGGGAATGCAAGTTCTGGGGTGGGACCATAAATGACGAGTTAAGGGTGAAGGAGGGAGATCTGGGCTGGGGCAACCAGGAGATTGGGGTGTAGAGGTGGGTGTAGAAGCCAGGAAACAGTTTGAGCACGGGAGGGGACTCAGCACTGAGGCAGAGGTTTGGGGTACAGGGAGTGGACTCCATGCCATGCTTACCTTGGGAGGGCTCCCGAGAAGCTTCCCTTGGTTCCTAAGCAGAGGCATGGCCAAGAGGGTCCCATTTTGAAGCTGTGGAGTTAGTGCTTACGAAGGAGGCAATACACGACCCCCGTGACTGTCCCTCCACCCTGGAGCTCAGGGGATATGTTACTGCTTTCAGGGAGCTGCGTGGATTCAAACTGAGAGCCTGTCAGCTTCACACCAACCAAACTTTTAATGGTGCAGTTAGCACTGCTGACCAAAGCCACTAGAATTCCTTTTCAACTGGATGTTGTGGTCCCTGCACAGCACTGAAGATTCCTCTTACACAAGAGCTCACTGGTTGTGAAATGAGCCCTCATCACTAGTTTCATTTCTGCTTTTATATGTAAATCAGATGGAGGGGGCAAAGTTCACTAAGGGTGCATCTACACTGCACCGTTATTTTGAGATACTAGCGCAATTTCGAAATATCAATGCGGGCATCTACACATGCCATTCCATTATTTCAAAATAATTTCAAAATAACGGAGAGTTTATTCCAAAATCTGTAAACCTCATTCTACAAGGAATAACACCTATCCAAAAATAGCTATTTCTAAATAAGGTGTGTGTGGACTCTCCACTGCTGCTATTTTGAAATAGCCCCTCAGCAGGGACATTCTAAATTTATTTCTCCCCAGTACCCTCTGGAGCTCTAAATCGAGAGAGCACGTCTACATTAGGGAAGCCTGCCTCGGACTAATTTTGAGGCTTCCCTGCAGTGTAGACGTGCTACTTCAAAATAAGCTATTTTGGAATAACTATTCCAGAATTGCTTATTTTGAAATAAGCATGCAGTGTAGACGTACACTAGAAGAGAGAGAAGGATGATGAATCTCAGAGGCAGGAGAACTGGTGAAGCACTGCTAGAATCAGGATTTGGAAAGAATGTGCATGGGTCTGCAGTTCTTCTGTGCTCTTTGAGGCAACACGGCGCTAGTGGATCAGAAACTATGCAGAGCTAGCAGCCATTTCCCATGTGGAGGTGGAACACAGAGGCCTCAGAGACTGCTATGACTAAAAGCCATAATAGTACTTGTAGACCACCAGTGGGTGTGCGTGTGTGTGGGGAAATTCCTTCTACCCTCACTCTTCATCTCCCCAGTTCCCAGTCCAATTTCTCAGGCTGCATGCTGGCTACAGGGCTTGGCAGTATCTGGTGTGGGAAAGGAAGTAAGAATTTATTTTTTATTTTTTGGTAGACCATGTATTTAGTGTCTCTTTTTAATACAAATCAAAGTTGTATTTCATTTGCAATTTTTAGACAGTGTAACTCTGATCATACAGACTGGGCATTTCTAGAGAATGAAGGGTTGATCCTGTAAGATACTGTGTACTCCTGTGTGGTGCTAAGTACCTTTAACACCCATTGATTTCAATAGCTTCAGGGGGTAGCCGAGTTAGTCTGGTAGCACTTTAAAGACTAACAAAAAATGTAGATGGTATCATGAGCTTTCATGGGCACAGCCACTTGACAGCTACGGGCTCACAGAACCTCTCTGGAATTCTTGATGTCCTGAAAAGCCAAGGCCCTAGAACTCAAGTCAGCATGGTATTTAAACACTTACCCAACCATCAGAATATGAATAGTTCTATTGGCTTCAATGGAATTTAAAGATAGGCATGGGCTTAAATACTTTGTAGATTCAGGCCTTGTTTACTCTATAGGGTCTAGACTACATTTTACTTTCGAAAGAAGATATGCAAATTTGGCAGGAATTTGCATATTTTCTTACGATCGCTTTTTTGAAAGAGTTTTTTTTCGAAAAAGCAAGCTGTCTAGACGCAGTTCTTTTAAAAAAAAACCGTTTTTTTGAAAGAACCTTCTTCCTCAGAAATTGAGGTTTATAGGT